AGACATCACAGTCAACTGCTCCATCCAGGAATGACTGGATGTGGTCCGGTTCTGGTTTGATGCAGACAGTTGCCAGACCATCTCAGACAATCATTCAAAAAGTTCAACATCACCAATGTCCCCTTCAACAGATCTGTTGTCTGCAAGTGGCAACAACCATGTCAGCAATAGCAGTGTTTATGAAAAGCATAGAGCCAAACTTGTAAGTATATTGTGGTGTTTTTAAGTAGCTCAACAAACTGTAATTCCAAAACATTTTATATTTTCACTTTCTTGGTTATTTTTGGGCCCACATGTCATCATTTTAATAATGCAGTTTGTGTTTGCTAAAATGTTTGTCTATCTCTCCACAGGCTTTAATAAGTCTAATTCTGAACAAGAAAGAGACATTGGGAATCAGCCGCTATAATAGTATATACTACCTATAATGTTTTGAACCCTTTTCTTGTTTATTTTCTGTGTGGCCAAAGGGCGTACTTTCAAGAGCAATATAATCAGGCTAAGCTGGAATTTACTTAGAAATATTTAAATTGATATTTGTGATATAACTTTCGAACGATGCTAAACTATGAACGAATATCATAAATTTCATTTTCACTAAGACAATTCTTCAAAGATGTAATTATTTTTAATGCTGGGGACGCTATCTTGTCAGTAGTATGTGACATTTAGTTTAAAAGACTGAAAACCTTTTACTGCATTATTTCCAGCGCACAGACATCTTCCTGCTCAGTTAACACAAACCCCAGCCAGTGGTGGGGCACAGCCACAAGCTGCTCCCAGAGTTCTCTTAGGCTCTTCCTTCTGGGTGAGATGGAGGGTATGTTACGCAAAACGTGGATGCCGCACAGCCCAGCCAGACCAGCAGCCAGATCATCAACCCACGAAAGTCAGGAAGTAGATACTTGGTCCTACAGCTATTTACAAGACACCAAACCCTTCATTTTGGCCAAGAGTGATAGCAGCAATGATTGCCAAAGGCCACATGAAGCTACAAGAGGTGCGTCGACTTCACCAGTCTGTCACCCTAGATGAGGCAGGGCAGCCAATCTGACACAGTTGTAGCAGTATGTGCAAAAGGACAAAAAATCACTAAATAACAGTAGGTAAAGAAAAGATTTCAGAAGACACAAAGAGGGTGAACATGACAAGTGGAAAGAAAGCCTGTAGGAGACCACTGTGTGAATACCAGCAACAATGATGAAAGACATTCATTGCAATTATTTACAGATTTTGGCAGATTATTTTATACTTGTTCTTTAACGGTTTTTTGGGGGATTGCGGTATTTGTTTTTCTTTTCAGAAACAATAATGGGATGTATATCTTGATATTAAAAATAATAAAAAAATTGAAGCCACAAGAATTGAACTGAATTAACCCACCACCGTGACTTCAATTTGAATGTAACAGTCCAGTATTTGTCACTGGCCAGCACAGACAGACAGACAGACATACATTTCTACTTTATCAAAAATTATTTCAGACATGCATGACTTAAGCCAGGACTCTCTGAAAATATCACATGCTTAGTAGTATCATTACTAGCTGCTTGGCAAAAAAACTCCCCCAGAAAACAGAAAATGTATTTCAAAACAGATATTTGATTTAAGTCAAGTCAGATGTCAGGGAAATTCTAACAGGCGGATCTTTTTCTTTCGTTTCATTTCTCACTCTCCACTACACACTCCAGTAGACTGCTTTGCCTGGGGGTCAGTGACTACATCAGGTCACGGCCCTGTGCCACTTTAAAGGTGTAGGAATCTGTGAGTGCACGCACATGGCAGCCCTTGATCTTGTGGTTTGACTATAAATGTATAATTACTAATCAAGCACATTGTACCTAAATACTTAATATATTAAAGTACAACTGGAGCAGTGTCCTTGTTACAGAGTGTATCCACGAGGAAGCGCTTTGCTGCATACATATTCCTACAGAGAGTGAAGTAGTAATATGTTGTGCTTTAGTCAACAGCACACCTGTAAAGAGTTTGGTCAGTTAAACTTTTTTTTTTTTAAATTACTGTCATCAACCAGCAGAAATTACATGGTGCTAATGTGAAAAAATATTGTATGCAATTCAGTCACTGTACTTGTTTAGACCCCTGTCACTGTGCAGTTAAAATAGGGCTTACTAGGGGTTGCCAAAACTACTACAGTATGTTACATTCTGCAACATGTATGACCCCCTCTTTCTTTTTCTGTATTTAATAGCTCTGGGGTGAATATTGTGATGCTGTGTTCCAAATCTTGCAGCAACAACAACAACAAATCACAGCAACACATATTTAGGTGTTGAAAGGAACTGGAAAGTTGTTGATTTTTATCTTTCTCTCTTTGCTTGGTTTGTTTCTTAGTAATTTTAAAAGCACAATGGAACAAATCACATCCAGCAGTTTCTTTCAATGTTTTGTTGATTTGATTTGATGACAACAAGGCTACAAACATAACTGCTTACAGGTTAGTAGTGAATATATACATAGATACAGATGAGAGAGAGACAGAAAGAGTTGAGATGGGAGCATAGAATATGTCTACCTATATGTATCAAGGTGTGTAATGTTGTTTATCATGAAAATCTTGATATTATTCAGTGCATGAGCTGCCTTTACTTTTTGATCTTTTATTGTTAGAATATACTTATACTTATTTTTGTTGGGCTTGGACTGAAGTCACACTTCATTGACTGTGGTTAGGTAACCTTTTGAATCTTTTGACTAATAAAAGATATGCCTCCTAACCACAAGGCCATTGGACACCACTCGGAGTTTTGCACACTGTTTCATGGTAACTATGGTTGTTTTGTTCTCTGAAATGTACTGAATTTCATCCAATACAAATAGAAAACAGGCTAACTGGGAAATGGGGCACAACTTTGGATCTCTATATGCCAAAGTATTAAGTAAGGAAAGAAAATATAATGTCTTTATGCTTGCTTATTTCTGTTAGAGAAACCTCTGTTACTTGAGTTCACTCTGAGTCATTTCCTGTGTCTGGGGTTTCCTGTGTCTCAGAATTCCACCACAATCATAAACAAACACGTCTACAGATTCTATAAATGATGACGTTCTGGGATGCTTCTCACTTTAGTACCGCATCTTAATTTAGGACATGGATATATTGTCAGATAAAAACATCCTTTCTAGTGCAGTTCAAAGGGAGTGTCTCAATCACTTTGATAATGTGTAATAAAGTGAATAAATGCATTTTGCCAGATAGAAATCATAGGTTAACCAAAAACACGGCACGTCACTGCAGTGTTTGCACTCATTCTCCACAATCAGTATCTGTTTGATCCATTATTACATGTTGTTTTTCAGATTTTCATCCATCAGCGTCTCTCACAGTGAGTCCTGACAGAGTGCAACACTTCACCAAAGAGAAACTCTACTGAGTGGCGAGTGATGAGGTTTACTGAGTCTCATGTCTCATGACTCATGTCAGGACAATTGGAGGACAATGAATGAATCCAGATGCATCATAGGCAGTACCCGGCAGAGTGATGCAGTGTACTGATGTGAGTCAGGAGAGTTCAGCAACGCCGTCAACATCACTATACAGAGTATGGTTTCATTACATTTTCTTTAATGAATAATCCCATTACATGTTTGTAAGATATATTTGTATGGTACAGTATGGTACATTTTAATAGTTTGGCCCATATATATGGTACATGGTATCTTAAACATGTTACAAGATTGTTTTTTCTGGTTATAAAAACAGTCTCAATTTAACACTGGAAGTAGATAGGACCTTTCATGTTTTTTGCAAGTGTTATGGCCACCGTATTTCTCCTACATGCTTCGAATAGGAGGATGTTGTAAGCAGTAACTAGACCACTAGATGTCACTAAAGCCTGCAGCTTCCAATGGAGCACCCAACACCGGAACCCTTCACCTCACCACCAGGATTTTCAACACCAGCACAAGGATCCCACGTCATCTAGGGCAATTCTTTGTGGATTTATCTGATTATGTTACCAGGGAAGTAACATGAACCAGCGCTCTGTTTACTGTGATATGAAGATCGGAACTGCAAACATGCAATCATACTCAGTTTGTACTGAAATCATCACACATGAGGTGATTATGGGTCAGCATGCAGTTCAATTGTAGTTTTGGGTATACTCGACCTACTATCCACTAGGTGTCAGAAAAGTTTGAATCTGACATCTGTTACACATGTCTATGGCCTTTTAGAATTTTGAGTATTTCTAAGTTTATCTGTTTCATATGTGATTGTTATTGTTGGGTGTGTGCCATTTGTTTCAAGTATATTTCTAGATCACACATATGACATAAAAATGAATAGTTGTTTTACTTGTATCACTCTCTGGCCATGGTGCTGCAGACTATGAAATATACAGTATGTGGAAATTCCCTCTCCTTCTCCATTTTGTGCTTAATGCTGCTGTACAAATTGTAAAGAGATCTGTATGGACAAATACAAATAATTACAGAGTTTTTAATCGCTTCTTTGACCAGACAGCAGTGGTTTCAGTCAGGATATGTGGATGTGATTCCAGCCAAAGAATCAGTCCGAGAAGTTCCTCAGCTCAATAAGTTTTATTGTAGGAATTGCAGTGGACAGAGATATACATGCAAATACTAGGATAGCCATGTTTGCGTGGTTGACAAAGAGAATAACAATATATGATATATAATTACAAATTATGAAAATGAACATGCAAGACTTGCTACACTTGCTGAATGAAAACACAAGAGAAAGTTGTCTTCGTAACAAACAGTAGGCTTCTCCTCCTTTACTCCTCTGCTCTGTATTCAGTGAGTGCAGACTGTCATGGTGTCACCGCTCATTAACAGGACTGGGCAGGCTTTCTCACATGCTACATTATCAGTTATTATCTACGCATTGCACTTGACTCAATTTCTCAGTTTCTAAGAAGTCCTATTGTTCATCCAGTAGAGTGTATGACCCCTTTCGACTTTGCCCTGGTGTGAATGTGCAATGACACTTTCAAAATTCTTGTTATTACAGCAGCACAATGTGTGAAGAGGACATGGAAAGTTGTTTATTTTTCACTCACTTGTGTCTTCTCAGGATCCAGTTGCAAAGTACAATGTAACAAAACGCATGCAATGGTTTATTTCAGTGTTTTGTTCATTTCATTTTGACATCAGAAGATGTTGTAGAAACGTGAGGTAAAAACAAAGGCATCCCAATACATCTTATAAGGTTGCAGCCCACAGGTCTTAAAATAAATTTGGAAAACCTTAATTATAGCTATTATAATCATCATTATGATCAAACATGGCTTTTTGGCTTGGTATTCTAGATATCTGATGAGAACCTACTGGCAATCTTTTCTAATTTTCTGAATTAAATTAAGAGTATTAAATATATTTCAAGTTAAGTTACGTTATTTTTAGGTTAACCGCATTTCATGTTAAATTCAGTGTGTAGAGTATCCAGCAAACACATGCAGGATGTACTGTACAATACCACACATTATAATCATACATATGTACACACAAAACACCCTCATCACAATACAGGCTCTGGGGATGCTGTAGCAGTGGCATCTACTACATAACATGCACAAAGAAACACAATTAAATGTTAGTTATATGATGCCATTAAATATAATGGCATGATGATATTTT